AATACGGTGGATAAAGTTAAGTCCACAAAGCACATAAGTAGCATCAATGGAGACCATCAACAAACAATCTAACAAGGTCAAACACGGAGACGGGACGACTATTTATACAAACCGGGCTGATCAGGGAGAGGAGGGCAGGAAACAAAACTGACAAAGGACTCTTTCTCCAAAACAACAACCTGTGGGAGACATAGTACCAAAACTAAACAACACTCATGAGATGAGGAATCAGTCTGAGACAGAGGGAGGCATACCACAAACACAGGGGAGGGTACGTCTGCTAAATAATAATAAAGTAAAGAGTTATGTTGGATCACAGATGTGCCAGCCCTCATTTCTTTGTTGTGGTTCTAAAGATCCAAATGTTCTTTATTGGACGTAAACTCCTTTTTCACCCGTTTTCAGTCCAGTGTTTGTGCCTGATCATTTTCACAGGACTGTTATTTTGTTGAGCTGCACATATAGTAGAATAAGGTGACAACAAGGCAGGCTGTTTGTACTGCAAGTTTATTTAAATGGCAGTAAATCATTTTTCCTAATGTGCAAGTTATTTTTGGCAGTGTGAGAGTAATTTAAAAAATTGCATAACTCTAGGTAAAGGAGACACTCCTTTTCTGTACACTCCTTTCAAGAAGTTGTGTTTGAACAATGATTACGAAAGAAGGAAAAGGTTAGGCTTGGCTCCATAAAGCCTGCAGAGTTTTATTGGATTGATATTTTTTTCTTTAAGCTGTAAAAGGAGAACAGTCCTTGTCACATTTATGGTAAAATAAAAGGACAGCTGAATAATAAAGCATACGTCATGCACATCAACATTATAAATATTAAGTAAAGGTGTAAAAAGACAAAGTTAATCTGTGCACCAAAAAGTGCAGCGTATTTATAAGACTGTATTTACCATGAAATTGTACACTGGTTAAAATGACTTATTATAATAACTTATTTGTTAAAAACCTGACTTGGTACCCCCTTTCATCTATTGTGCCTGGCTGCATTAAATAATAAAGATGTCCGTTCAAAGTACTGACTTTCCTGCTTGCTAAAATTGTACAAATTTCTGTAATTCCTCTTATGTTTGCACCTTTCAATAAATCACTGCACCCATGTCCCCTTTTTCCTACCAAAATATAAAGAAATGAGGGGTCGCTCAAGACTCTGCACAGCACTTTATCTGTTTTTGACATGTCATAGCAGACAAAAGTTGTAAGTAATATGAATACAAACTCGATTCCTTAAAGCCTCTTCAGTCTCTTATGCTGTTCTGCTCTGTTTATAGAACAGAGCCATTGCTGATGTTTGGAGGAAAGTCTGAAGGTCAAAGGATCTGCTCATGACGACGCTCCCCCCCCCCCCAACTCTGTTATTGCTAATGATGGTATTATGCCTAAGTTTGGACTGATTTCATCCTAAGTGAATGCCGACTGTGTAGCCCGACCTTGCACGCATCAGCAGATATCCCTAAAGTTCAAACTCATTTTGTTTTTATCTCAGCAGCCTCCAGTATTATTACACCACCTCATTCCCTCATATCGTCTCCCTCCCCAATGTGCACCGGTCACTTCCAAGCATTTCACGCCCACAAATCCTGGCTCTCCCATATAAACTGGCTGAGCATCCTCTCTCAATACATTCACAGAAGCCTCTTCAGTATTCGATTTCCATCACACCGCCATCCAGCCATGACTTCACCTGGGCGCCTTGCAGGACTTTGCATAATTGCTCTGGTGCTGTTTTATGGTGCACATCTGGGAGGTAAATAGATTTATAGATTTTATTTTATTTTTTTAAAGAATATATACATTATGCATTCTTCAAACTGTAGTGCTTTGAACCTTTCCATTTCTTCTTGTTGGATTTCCTCAGAGACCAAGAAGAACTCTCGCAAAGAGCCCAACGTCCCGTTCCCCCCTGCCCGTCCCACCACTCACAATCTGGCTGCCATTTGTCATCAGGGTAGAGGTCGCCCCAGGTACCCTCCCAGTTTCTTCCCCAAATCCGGGTCCAGCCACTTCCGACGCCGTGGACATGCCATGAACCGCCTAGAGTCGTGGTTCAGAGTGTGCTGCAGTGGACACCTAGAGCAGAGCAGCCAGATCCTCTGCTGCGCCCAACAAGCGGTGAGTCTCTGAGTGTGTGGGACCGAAGTAAACTTGAAAACACTTAGCATATCATCAGGGAGAGTTCTGCTATTATTTAGTATTTATACAGTTAGTAGGGAATTAATAATACTCTTTTTTTTTTTTTTTTTTTTTAAAGCTTCATTGTCTTAAAATTTATGGACTGTCCAAGAGGCTTTGGTTTTCAAAACTATAAATTCATACAAATTAGTATAATTTTATGCTGAGTGAATCGCTGTTGCACCGCACCTGCTTACATAATCTATTCTCCTCCCACCGCAAACCCCCCCCCCCCCTCCGCCTCCCCCGCGCTCGTAATGGGACGATACTTGTGGTGACATGACTCTTCTTTCTTACAGTGGAAAAACGCCCTGTCTCTGTTCTGTGTGGAAGAGTACTCCACCATGACCCTCCCGTACGAGTGCTGTGAGAACACTGGAGAAGCCCGCTGGTCATGCTTCGACAGTGAGCTGCCAAACCCAAACTACACCTCAAAACCAGGCTACAATGCCCCTGAAATCCCCGAGGAGCCTGGATTCACGTTTGATCCAAATACCTGCTAGAGATCGAAAATAATAACTTTCCACTCTTTCACATTCTTATAGGGAGATGGTATTGAAGAAACACTTGCAAACCTCTATCAGACAATGCTATCTAAATCTTGTCTTTGTCACGTACAGCTGCTTCCTGATGCGGACAGGACATACTGGTTTGGATTACACTATCTAAGGACGATTAGAGTCCCATCTAGCCTTGTTATCAGCTCAGCATTTTAACTAATCTTTGCCATATTAATAGGAAACACATTTTTAAAATGCAACTCGGTGCTTAATTTTATAAGGCTCACAGAATGTGTCTGGCTTAAATGTTGTAATTTCTGACATGTAGTGTTTTTAGAGAGAAAAATAAACTCACTCCGCAAAGAGACTGATGTGGTTTTTGTTACCATGAAGGTCTGTTATAAGGTTGATATATCGCCTTCAAAAATCAATCTTTTTAACATCCAGTCACAAATCTGTAGAATTATTTTTGAAAAAATACATATGACGTAAAGGTCTCCACCAGGGGTCACAGTTGGCTGGATTATCAGCGTGTGTGGCTGTAACATGTTGTTGATGGGTAATAAAGGTTTCAGTGTGGTGTAGCATCTCTGTGCAGTTAAGTTAAAAAAAAAAAAAAAAAAAATCTCAAATCAAAACTTTACAACCACCATTGAGTTATCTTCACTAATATAATCCAGACCACAATCACTGGAATGGTCATCTGTGTGACTCCTTCAAAGTAAAAGGTGAAAGCGTTACAGGAGTTAAACTCTGGTGACTCCAGCTCCTATATGATTTGACTGACATTTTGAGATTCAGCAAACCATTCAGTGACCCCCCGTTTCATATGGATGGGGGTGTTGTCATCCTTGAAAAGACACAGATCAAGGTGATCACTCGGAACAGTTTTTTTTTTTAGTAATTTGCAAGATCAAAACAATCACAAATCTGATTTTTTTTTTTCATCTGTTATTAACTTTTAAAAAGGAGCCAAACTGATTTTATTTAAAGAAATCCCAAAGAATGGAAGACCACAGGGACAGTTTTAATTAAGGCCGGAAGTGACAGGTCAAGGAAAATCTTAGATAAGCAGAGGCAAATGATGGTGAGAACAGTCAGTCAACCCACACACCAGCTCCAAAGACCTGCAACATCATCTTGCTGCAGATGGTGTCACTGTGCATCATTCAACTATTCAGCACACTTTGCACAAGGAGATGCTGTATGGGAGAGTAATGCAGAAGAAGCCTTTTCTGCGTACATGCCACAAACAGTCACTTGAGGTATTCTAAAGCACATTTGGACAAGCCAGCTTCATTTTGGAATAAGGTGCTGTGGACTGATGAAACTAAAATGGAGTTATTTGGGCATAACAAGAGGAGGTATGCATGGTGGAAACAGTACACAGTATTCCAAGAGAAACGCTTGCTAGCCACAGTCAAATGTGGTGGCGGTTCCATCATGCTGTGTGGCCAGTGCACGTACTGGGAATCTTGTTAATGTTGAGGGTCACATGGATTCCAGTCAATATCAGCAGATTCTTGAGAACAATGTTCAAGAATCGGTGACAAAGTTGAAGTTGCGCCAGGGCTGGATATTTCAACAAGACAATGACCCTAAACACTGCTCAAAATCTACTAAGGCATTCATGCAGAGGAACAAGTACGATGCTCTGGAACGGCCATTTCCTGATTTGTGGATAATGGCTCTCACTGCATTTTGCTGGAGTCCCAAGAAATTAGAAATTGCTTTGTAACCTTTTCCAGACTCATAGACGTCAATGACTTTGTCTCATAGCTGTTTCTATAGATTGTGACATGCTGTGTTCCTTTTTAAGATCTTAATTCAACTACCAATGAAATTGAACTTTTTCACAACAAAAGAACAGAGACAAAGGTTTCTGCATGACTAACCACAAAAGTAAATGTCACTGTATGTGTGATCATGAAACACTAAATCAAGTCATTAGCCTTCATTAATACGTCATTCAACTTAAATTTTGATACTTCAACTACATTTTATTCCCAATGTATAACATTTTGAACAAAACAATTTTACTACATGATAATATTGCTACTTCTACCTTTTTAAAATGCTGTTTAGCAGTACAAATAAGTTATTTCTCTCTTCTACGTTTTTAAAAATAGCTACTTTTGCATTTCTTATTATTCCCACTACAAAGTTTGTTAACTAATTCTTTAGATTAAGTTATTTTTCTTGTTTTCCCCACCTTTTTTACATAAATTTTAGAAGGTTCCTAAATCATGGGGTGGTGTTATGTTATTTTGAAAGTGCCTATGTTATTCTGAAATATTTCCCCACCGGAAATGCTGTTCTTGCCCAGACTAGCAGCCCAAACAAAACTGCCGCTTCCGCACTGCTTCCTTGTTTATTTGTTTTGAGGAAAACACCGCCTTTATAAAAGAATAAAAAGTATTTTTTAAATTTAATTAGAAGCTATAAGAACGTCTAAACACGATTTTCTGGTAAGTTTAATGTTTTGTGTGTATTGTCGAGACTTATCTGTGTGGCTAAAGTTAGAAAAGTTAAAGCAGCGGCAGCTAGCGTTGTCGCCTATGTTCAGTTGAGCGCTGCTCAGACGTTTCGGTATCTCCCACATTAACATGTCACAACACGCATTAGCCTCTCTGTGTTGTTGTGTGTGTGTGTATTTTTTAAAAGTTAATTTACTTAATAGCCTACTCGATGCTTAGTCGCTTTTGGTAGGAAGCTGCCGCCTGTTTATGTCACCTTTGTCTCCATCAGCAGAGCTGTTCAACGTGGCTGTTGTTGGTATTTCTAGCATGAAATCATGTAGAGTGTTTACTGTTCTTGAGCTGGGCATTTTTTCCACACAGGTCCACGCCTTGCTGAACTGACGTCACCGATACATTTGAAGCTAAGGGGTGAATAAAGACCCCCAGTTTCCTCCAAAGCAAGTCCAGAGTGTAGTTTCTTGTCTGAATGGCCACAGCTGCAGAAGAGCCTCCAGGGCTACAGGGCCAGACTGGCAGTAAGTACTATGTTGTAATACACCACCTTTCGTGCCAGTGCATACAACATATAGCCTGAAATAACTTTAATTGCTTCATACAGATTCACTTCTCAAGGCATGTCTCAGAAATAAGTGATGACTTATTTCTGAGACATGACCCACGGTTAGGTCTCACATGGTAGTGTACTCAAGATAACGAGGTGGGGGTCCATTCATATGGGACCACCTGGGGATAATAGAGGAGTAGCCAAAAATGCTTACCTGACATCACGCATGTAAACTATGCTTAATTATGTTGACTTATGCATGTTGTACACAGGCATATTTTAAATACTTCAATCATTACAATCAATATAGATGTATAATTGAAGCCATTTAACAGAGTCCTTAATAGGTTAAAAGACAACCTTTTTTTTGTCTTCAGTAAATTTGGGGCATCTCAAATAAAAGAAGAAGAAAGCAAATAAAAGTACTTCGCAGAATGTCTTAACTATTCCTTTAATGTGTACTAAAAAGGAAAGAAAATGGAAAAAATATGTTTATTTACCTCACATCACAGTAGATTTATGACACAAAAGTTTTCATCAGAGCATCTGAGGTAAAAAACAAAAAACAAAACTTTAATTGAGTACAAAGGCCACTTTTCTTGGCCCGAGTACATAATTACATCTTAAATCAGATGTTTCTGGCTGTCCTTGATTTGATCTTTAAAAAAAAAGTGGTTTGCAGGACAAAAAAGTACATGGATCTCATGCTTCACAGAAAGTTTACGTACTTGCCTCACTTTATTAAAGATTAAAACGAGCGCTTTTCCAGAAGTTTTGTGCCATTGTGTTAAATGGTAAACGTAGAAATATATAATCATTTTGAATTTGATGCCATCAACTCATTTGGGACAGGAGGATGTTTAACACTGACTGCTCTAGTTATGAAAACATACTGTTTTCTCCTTATTGCTTAACACAGGAATTCAGCTGCACAACAGTTTCACACTATTTCTATCCCTCTGAACACTTTTATATACACCCTGTCACTGCTGTCACTACTCCAGAAAAATGTTGTTACTCAGCATCCGTTCTATGGAAATGTACAAGAACAGCATAGACTCTGAAGAAAGGAAACCAGTTGTTGACTGTAAGAAGAAAGGAGCGATGAGTAACCGGAACTGAAATTAGGGAAGTGTGAATAATAAAGTGTTGAAACAAGAGATTTTGGCCTCCTTTGACTAGTTTTACATTTTCTAATGCCACATTTTTGTTAGTGGGTGTTGGAGCTGCAGTAATAATAATAATAAGTCCTTACTGGATTAAACAAGGACCTCTTTCAAAACTAGCTGTCTTTCTAGCTGCGTATGTAGCGAGAAAAATTGGTATATTAATGATGCTTTCACACATGTGTGAGTTAACCCTGCCTTGTGAGCTAATGCCCTCCCATACCAGTACAGATTTTGGCTTTTTGAACTGATAGCAGTCTGAATGGTCTTTCCCTCCCTGAACTCAGAGGATGAGGCATTCATGCTATCCAAAAAGGATTTCGCATTTTGATTTGCCAGACCACAGGCAGCAGGAGGCTTACAATGGGCTTTGGGGATGGGGCTATGAACCTAAACATAACCGGTCCATATATAGTGAAGGCAAAAAGTCTTTGTTATCTATGTCAACAGAGGTCTGAGTATTTTCCTATTGGTTTTGGCCATTTCACAAACAAAGTTAGAGTAAATGAAATCTTATAAAAAGTACCCACAAACTTTGCCATTCTTACAAATTGTTTAACTGAAATCAAAAATAGATGTGTGCTATTAAAAAAAATGAAGCTTAGAGAAGTTGTTTATTATTGGTCAAATAAGGTGGATCCAAGCATCAGCTCTTTTCTTAGTTGATTCTAGCCTCAGTTTTGAGAAGTGTCTCCCAGTGCTTCTACCATTTTTGAAATATCACTAAGACTATCATTCTTGCTTTTATTTCCTCTCATTTGGATTATTGTAATTATTTTAGCAGGTATCAATCACAAATCATTGTACAGTCTTTTGATTGTTCAAAATGAAGCAGCCAGACTTATAAACCCAAGCGAAGTTAGTGTATTTAAATGCGTTTTAATAACCAAGGTCACGTGCATTACATTTAAACATACTGCAACTGCTGTCCCTGTATAGAAGCCTGTTAACTGGCCCCACCTCATGCTTAAACATGAAAGGTGATCGAGTGTTTGCTGTTCGGGGTTCTTGATGGTGGAGTGACTTGCATGAGGAACTCCGTTTGGTTTTGTTGGTGCTTAAGTCTCCAGTCTTGTGTGTTTTATTATAGATTTCATACCTTTGACATAATCATCATCATTATTATTATTTTTATTGGTTCTACTATCACAGTCCTGGCAAATTTCCTTTAACTGAAAGCCAAAAAGCTCCAAAATGTTTGACATGCTGGAGAAACTCTCAATAGTCAGTTTTGAGCTCAGGCCTAGAGCAAGCAAAAGCCTTTCTGGATTTAAAATAAATGTGTTTGTTGTCTTAGTTTTATTTGTGGATACAGCAGTTGTGTACACTGATAATGATTTTTATGAGGGTTGTTCACAACAGGATTGTGCTTGCCTTTATTGCATTGCTGTCTGAGCATTGAAGATGACAGGCATTTAATATTGCTTCTTGTGTAGATTAGAAATATTGGCAAACCCCTCCCCAGCTTTAGTTCTGCAAATTAATGGCCAGTCATCTTCCTTATTACAGTCGTCTGGTGATGTTGTCTGAACCTTGTTGATATTTGTTGCGTTAATCAAATTCAGAATAAACATATTTGTTAAAAAAAACAATTTTTTTTTGTGTCAACACAGTGTCCCAGCTGTTTTGGAAATGGTGCTGTAATATACATAATAAATGTTTAAAGGAAAGTGAATTGCAGACATCATGATGTTGTGTCACTTTCACAAGTGTGTTTCCTTAAAGATGAACGGAAGCTAAGTGTCATTAAGTTCAAACACCAGTAATATTACGGTGTAATACACATCAGGAAATTCACCGGCTTTGTATGAACTCACTTTAATAGCATCCTTATCTAATTCCTTCCATTGCACACAAAGACCTGCAGAGTCAGTTCTGGAGGAAACTGTCTTCTTTCAGAGGTAATGTTTGAGGTGTGTCTGCATGTTCAGCTGCACTCTCTATTTTCAGCGTTAGGGAATGGTAGAAGCTGTTTCCGTCTGTGTTTGACATTACTGCATCCACTGTAATAACTGTTTGCCTTTTCTGCTCATTTCCTGTCCTGTGTGTGTGTCTGTGTGTGTGCGTGTATGTAATTTCCTGTGTAACATTATGTCTTTCTTTCTGATTCCAGACTTGAATGGGTCTCGAAAAAATGCTTCAGCTGAGGTGAGAAATGAGGGAATTTGTGGGGAAGAAACTGAAAATCTGTCTCGGTCAGTTAGGAATTGCACATTTCTTTCCCCATAAGCAGTTTGGGATTAGCCCGTATTCTGCTGACAGGTCATTTGTGCCTTCCTGTTTGAATCGTGAGAATATTACATGTTCCTGCACTTACAATGAGTTCTTTTCCTCTTGTAATTCTGTTTTGTGCCATGTTTATACTGACAGGGTCCAAGTGCTAGCACATCTCAGGCTTTGAAAAAAATCGGGCATCGTGGGATCGATCCCACTGGGGAGACGACGTACAAGAAGGTTGGGGATCAGCCATTGCAGACTTAAGCACATTTTTTCACTCTCTGTAGAGCTGCATCTTACAAAAACTTTCATTATCTTTTCCTCTTCCAATTGTTCTCTTGATGAGTTAATGAATTATTTGGCTTGTAAAATAGTGATAGTAGTGTAATCTCAAAATTTATAAATCTGTGCCTTGGTTTGTCTGCTGCTCACTATTCTGGCCTGTGAAACGCACAGCAGTCTCTTTTTATTGCCATTAGCTTAACCCTTCATCACCCACACATATGATCTAATCTGTCCTGCCTTCTTGAATAAGTGCTCTCCGCTTACTGCTAGTGTTCATAATCTGGAAATCCTTATAACGCAAGTGCTCTGTGTCTTTTCCCTCTCTTCAAACCTCATTGTGGGACTTCTTTGTGATTATTCAGTTGAACTTGACACCCACAGGGTGTTTCTACAGGCTGTTGGGAGCTATAGTTACATTTCCTACAATTTGTGAAGTCCACCAAAACAGTGTTCCATATTTTAAGATAACCCTATTTTATCCTATAATGGACCTTGGAACAGCCGTTTGTTCATTCACTGTTTGAAACACACTGTTTAAGGCCCCAGTCAGACAGGCCTAGACCAATAGAAAAGGTAATGAAGTACCTGTTTGTGAGTATTACCCAACCGGTTTACTGGAGGCTGCTGCCAGCTGCTGGGAAGTTGGTGTGAAGGTGAAGTTTCCCAATTCGCATAGGCCAAGACACTGGTCAGTGACCCCTGGCAACTACCGGTCACAAGGAAAGTGTGTGTAATCTGTGGGCTGTTGCTGGAGTTTGCTTGAAGTCACTTTGGTTGCAAAAATGTATGCAGGGCTGCAACACAAGCATCTTTCCGATTGCTTTGGTCATTTTTGCATGGACGGCACCATCTTGTGCGCAAACCCTTACAAACTGCTCGCTAATTGGGAGTGAAACTGCGAAAAGTGCAAAATGGAAACGGAGACCATTCGTGACTTGCTTTGTTTGGACGACTTTTACTTTTAAGACAAATGGTCTCCGTTTCCAGCTTGTGTTGCACTTCTTTCAACTAAATAGCAAGTATTTGCAGACAAGCTGGTTTCCTCTGTGCCAACTCCAGGTGAGCAAAGCAGTCACAAAGAGGTTTTTGGTGCAGCATCTTCTTTGCAAGTGAGTTCACCATGCGACATTCAGCAACCGCTTTTCAACCTGTCGGGGTATACACAGTTTTCCAAGTGACTAGAGGTTTCCAGATGGGTCATTAACCAGTCAAGGCCTGTGTGACTAATGCCTAAACTTCCTTCTTTCTTCCTTTAGCCGACTCCCTTCTTATTGGCCTCCTCTCCTAAACAGCATGCTTAAACGGCAGGTGGGTGGGCTACTGTGCTCGCAGACAAGCTTGATATGAACATATTAGGGATGTCAGGGTAAAGGAAGCTGAAGCTTTGTACATGTTTAATAGAAGCAACAACCACTGTAACCATGCATATGAAAAAGCATAAATGGTGGACTTGAAAATGCAGCCACTAATAGCCATGCGAACAAGCACTTGTAAAATGTGCACTTGTGCTGGCACTTTTTGATGTGGTGGTACTTCACACTGTTTAGAGTACATTTGAACCAAACCGGAATATTTTCCTCCTTTTTAAACCATTGTAGGCTTTACATTTATACCTGACCACATAGCAAGTGAAAATGAAAGCAAACTGAACATTGGTCCCAGTAGAGATTTGCCTCTCAGCTGAATGTTGAATGTTGAGTGTGTTTGTACCATCACCACCACCCCACCTAACAGTAAACATGGGCTCTGTTTGGTGAACCTTTTGAGTTAACCTATCTATTAATCTTTAGTGAAATGTCTGGAAAAAAAGTGTCTCCCACCTGCCAAAGCTTGCAAGTCCCCATGCCACTTAATTTCTTGAAGTATTCACTTTGAAATGCATTTGTTGCATTTGATACATGTAAGTTTCCTTTCTTCCAGACAACATCATCAGCTCTGAAAGGTGCTATCCAGTTAGGCATCACGCACACGATAGGCAGCTTAAGTCAAAAACCTGAAAGAGATGTGCTGCTGCAGGACTTTGAGGTGGTGGAGAGCATCTTCTTCCCCTGGTCAGTTTGTAACGATGGTTTGTAAAGGAAATGAAATATGTGTCTGCCCTGTGTGCAGACAGGATCAGGATATTTTACTTCTGCAAGCCTACTTTGAAGCTGTGTGGAAAATAATCTTGTGCTCCTCTGTTTGTGACCTGCAGTGAGGGTAGTAACCTGACACCGGCACACCACTATGGAGACTTCAGGTTCAAAACATACGCCCCGATGGCCTTCCGCTACTTCAGAGAGATGTTTGGCATCCGGCCCGATGACTACATGGTATTCTTGTATAATCACCAATTGTTGTCCAAAATATTTCTGAGGAAAGAGAGCAGTTCACTTTTGGGGAAAAAGGAGTGTTTGAGTAACTGTGACTAGGGAAGTGTGAATAATGGAGTATTGACACAGGAGAGGAGTGGAGATGCTGTTCTTACGGTTTTAAAGTAGGGGTGTCAAATGTAAGGCTGGGGGCCAGAATTGGACTGGTGACAATTCCAATTTGGACCACCGATTTTGAAAAAATGTGAAAGAGGGCATAATTTTCAACTGTATATTTAGAAGTTTTACAGCTTTTCCTACTGATCAAGACCTCTCCCATCATCATTCATACTACACCAAAGAAAATTCAATTATAGATATCTGTAATTTTACACGTTTACTTCTTACAGTTTAAGCCTAAAGAAGCATGCTGACAGATTTCTTTAATTTACTACAGCAGTATTTCATTATCATGTAGAAAAACGGAGACCTGTTGTTGAAATTGCACTTCTTTGGCCTCTATTAAGATATCACATTGATTAAATGTATATTTAAACTTTTTTTAGACTGACAGATATTGGAGATATTTGGATATTTCATGTTTTCTGCCTCCTGCATGCTCCCTCCAGGTCCTGCCTCTCGCCCAAACCAAACTCTGTATGCTTTGTAGTGAGAACATGGCTTCAGTCAGCATTCATGTGTAAAATGTAGCAATAAGACTGTGGTTTTTTTTTTGCTTTTAATCACATGTGTAAAGACCGTTTTTTTATGTTGTGTTTATAGTATTCTCTGTGTAACGAGTCGCTGATCGAGCTGTCCAACTCCGGGGCGAGTGGATCTTTGTTCTACGTCTCTAGAGATGATGAGTATATCATCAAGACGGTGCAGCACAAAGAGGCAGAATTTCTGCAGAAACTGCTGCCTGGATACTTCATGGTATGATTTGATGGTCACAAAATGTCCTAATCATCATCCTGTTATCACTATCAAATGCAAGGTCTTGGATATCAGTGGCGCTTTTACAGCGATGCTTTGCTACCCTTAAAACTAATCTGCAGTTGTTTTGTTAGTCTGCAACTGCCATAGCTGTGGGCATTATGTTTTTATGTTGTCCTCATGTACTCCACCTACGATTATTATCATGATATCCCTTGGTACTCCTTCTGGGAATTTTATTCATTATCAACTTTAACTCAAGGAACTGATTAGAATTTAACGGCCAAAGATCAGCTTTCACCTCACGTGTGTTAATTGTTGCATTCTAGTAAAATTTCACAATAGGAGTGTCCTGAGAAATTTTGCAGATATGTTTCTTTGGATTGAAGGACGACATGATTAGATTTGGTACTGTGACTTTACAAAACATGTCAACTAACACAATAAAATCAGAAGCTGTCATTTTGTCTTGAGGCAAAATATCAAAGGTCACATCTGGATAGCCATGGATGTAAAATGCAGCCAAACGGGTTGGTGCAAGACGGGAACTATGAGGCCGTATTTACAGTTACTGAAGTAACACTCTGCAGTCAAATATTGTTCCTACTTTGTTTTCTTGAGCTGCTAAAATGCTTTGTTTGTCTTTAAAGTCTCTCTCAACTAGTTAGTCTGGTTTTCATTTAAAGCACTCGACATGCTTGTTACTGACTGAGTTTGCTTTTGCTCTGGCACATCTGCCTTCTTTTTTTATCAGTTTACTTAAGTCAACCATTCATTTAACTTTTGGTGACGCTGATACTGATGTTTCTTTTCATTTTGTCTATATTTCTTCCTCCTACTCTTTTTCTTTCTGCCTTAGAACCTGAACCAGAACAAGCGGACCTTATTACCAAAGTTTTATGGGCTGTATTGCGTCCAATCAGCTGGTAAAAACATCCGCATTGCAGTCATGAATAATCTGCTTCCTAGTGCAGTACGAATGCACCTCAAGTATGATCTAAAGGGCTCTACCTACAAGCGACGAGCCTCGGCTAAAGAAAGAGAAAAGGCTGTACCCACATATAAGGACCTGGATTTCATCCAGGACATGCCTGAAGGGCTCTCGTTGGACGCTGATAAGTACAATGCTCTTTGCAAGACCCTCCAGAGAGACTGCTTGGTGAGAACTGTGAAAACATGAGGCTACCAGAATAATAACAGTGTTGGTTTAGATAGAATCAGTAAAATTTCTTCCCTCTAAATGTCCTCCTGATCTTATAGTACTCATGTTCCTTAATTTCCATCCAGCTCCTGCAGAGTTTCAAGATTATGGATTACAGCCTTCTGGTGGGAATTCATAACGTAGATCAGGCCTGTCAGGAGCAGGCCAACGAGGAGGCGGGGGCTGGGGCAAAGGGTCAAGTTCAAAAGGCTCTGTACAGCACGGCTATAGAGGCCATTCAAGCAGAGGTGGGACGCATGGGATCCATGGAAACAGAGGACAGGTGAGTGACGGAGTGTCTGTGATCGTATCGAGCAGGCTTGTCCCACCAGTTTCTGTCTGAGAAGAATTACAGAAGACTAAAGGTGTTTTTGTTTGCAGAACGGGAGGAATCCCTGCACGAAACTCGAAAGGCGAGAGGCTGCTGGTGTACATCGGTATTATTGACATTCTTCAGTCTTATAGGTAATAATTCACTTTATTGTCCTCATTGAGCTCACATAACAAAAGAAGCACATGAACAGGAAAGCAGCAGCTTCCGTCTTTGTCTGTTCAGAATGCGTTCAGGGACCGTATCAAGTGTTAAACCCCTGGACACTGTCTCGTTAGCTAACCTGACGTTTTACACTGAAGGTCAGAGCGGACAGTAGAGAATGACTACGGTCGGTCAGTGAGGCAATGAATCTTTGTTACTTTATTTAGAAACTGTGCAAATAAACGTTATCTATACCAGAAAATCTCTGCCAACATGTAACCATGACGCCACCTGTGGTGACTAAAATATGATCTTCTTTGTTCCACTGTGTACACGTGTGGCCAACATCCAAAATAGAGTTCACATGACATGAGTAAACAGGATTTCAGCATCCAGATAAAACTACAAGGGCACTTTCAAATGTTTCTACAGTGAGCGTGTGATAAGAAAATACTTCTGTTTGAGGATCTAAATTTTATGAAAAGCATAGAGGGGGGAAAAAGTAGTGCTTGGACGAATGGGTAAATGAGGCAAGCTGCATTGAGCAGTTAGAGTAGAAAAAGTTCTATATAAGAACCAGTCTAGTTACCATTTACCATCAAGTCAGAGTGTGTGTGTGTTTTTTCAGATTGGCAAAGAAGCTTGAACACTCCTGGAAGGCTCTGGTTCATGATGGGGTAAGGACCCTTACTAGTACTAGCTAGTTTGGTTGCAATGATTTAACAATACAGATTTTAACTTGTTTTATTTCTTTTTTTCAGGACACTGTATCAGTGCACAGACCGAGTTTCTATGCCGAGCGATTTCAGAAGTTTATGTGCAACACAGTGTTTAGAAAGAATGCATGTAAGTTTATGTTGTCTCCGTCTGAACATGACTCTGTCACACCAGTGTTACTGCACAGACTCAAAGTTTCTCTGTCTCGTATCTAGTGAAGACCTCCCCGTCTAAGAAGCGCCGTGCAGGAGCCGGTCCTGTGAAAAGAGCGGCTGGCTCTGGACCTTCTCTGATGACCCAAGCCAGCAGCAGCAGCACCGCCCAGAGTCCTTTGCTCCAACATCAAGCCAGTTCAGACACCAGAGAGGACAGCGAAGCAGACAAAAGTGAGGATGAAAGAGCACAGAAGCTTTAACTTCTCTATGGGGAACTATTTATGTTTCATATTTTTCATGACAGCTGCAAACATTTAGTCTTCTTACATGTACCACTATGGGAGATGCTTCTTTTTCAACACAGCAATAAACCGTTTTTGTCCCCTCTCGCCAGTTATGCTCGCAGGTCGTCCTGACCTCCTCCCAGATACCATTCCTCCACGCAACCCTGTTGCTAGCGCTGTTGAAACTGCCATCTCCTCCTTGGGAAGCCCCAGATTTTTACCAGCAAGTCGTCTTCAGTCTAACACTCGGGGAGAATCTTCGAACAAGCAAAACGAGGAAGACAGCACCCCCAAGGGGTAAGAGGGGACATATAGTGTAATAGTTTGTGTATTAACGATCCACCTGTCACTTTTATGACAGTACACACAGACACACACATTTTCCTACAACACACCAGTGTTATCTGAATGCATTGATTAATGTCTAATTACACTAACTGAATATGGTAGTACCAGAAGTAACTTGTAATCATCTACTAAATGTTCTGCTTTGGATATAAAGTGCACACACCTGCTGGTGTATTTGAATCACCTTTATACACAAGAGCTGGACAAAATACCAGAAACAAAACAAAGTTCAACAACAACACAGTAATAACATATTCAAACAAAAATGTCTTTAAAGATGAAACACTTAGTTTCACCTAAAACAGAACTTTATATATCCTTCTCTGAAGTAAGAAATCTTCTACTTCTCCCATTTAAAGTGATCCAAAATGCAGTGCTTCTTTCAGGCTGTATTAGAGGCCTACATTTTTAAACTCCTTTTTAGATAGGTCAGCTTTCACATGATGTGTTCTTCAGTATTTTGTTTTTGCGTGTATGGAAGTGTGTATGTTGGAATGAACGTGTGATCCTTTGGTTAATGTGTGGCTTTTGTTCAAGTTGTGAAACACTTTGAAAAGTGGAATGCAAATCAACTTAGGAATAAATGAATGACCCATTGATGCACAGACTGGAAGTGAGGCCTTCTCAGAAGACAAAAATGTGCCTTAACCAGAACTTCAGGAAAGTCAACATTTTCCCAAAGCAGCACAGGATTCTAGGCATGGAAACAAGCGTCGAATTAGCTCATAAAGCTTTCTGTAAAAATGCAGTGTATATTCTGTTAATATTTTCACCTCCACAACCAGTGCCACGTACTGTGTTAAGGTTCAAATGCATCCTCATGACTCTCCTGTTGTTTTCAGGGCTCAGTCTAGGACTCTTGAAGAAAGTGGTGCTGAGGAAGCAATCTCACTCAGCGACGTAGTCCCGTGTGTAAGCAGCTGCTCAGTAAGTTGATTTCAAACCTCAGGTTCTGCTATCAAAATATTTACTCGTATTTGAACTTTTTTTTAAACTAATACTCTTTCACTTGGTTTGCAGGTGTAGATGTGAGGAAAAAGAATGACTTGAAGGATGTTCTGAGCCTTCCTGAAATCTTATAACTCCCTTGGTATGATTTGAGGTACCAGAACTTACAAAAAGAAAATTACGCAGTGCATCTCCTGGACCAAGAGGGATATGAAATGTTTGTTTGTTGTCTTTGTTTTTTTTGCACAATATGATAATGTAACTGGGCGGTTGTGTCGCAACACTAGTAACTGCAGACACGGTAATGCTGTAGTTATTGAACACTATTATTAAACCCATAGGAGAAGTGCCTGTAGTCACAACCAATGATCATTTTTGGCTCAGTTAAGCATTTAGTGTGGAAATGTTGCCTTCTTGAAGAACTGAGATTCTTCATTCAGGCCTGGCTATATACGTCATTGTCCTTTTTGGGATTATTATTATTTTATTTTATTTTTATTGCTTCTCTCTTCTTCTTCTTTTTTTTTGACCAAATGGCTGTAGCACGTCTTTATGCAGATTTTTCTGTGTGCCTGCCACCCACCCAAAGGTCCAAGTCTAGAGTAGTGTTTGTGCTACCTGCTTTGACGGAAAGCCTTATGATGAGGATTGAGAACACAGTTTTAAATAAAGTCTTAGTTTTTAAAGAAATTACTGTATTCATGCATTGTAAGCTTCTGATTTTTAAAAGCTTACTCTGAATGGAAATCATGCTGGACAAAAGACCTTCAGCTTGTGCTTTTTATTTACCCAAGTATTCCCGTGGACCTGGAGTGCTTTTACAGACTGTGAATCTTAAATATCACTTGTGATATTCAGGCCAGAAGGTTATTTTAAATGTTTTCTTTTTATACTTGTATTTGCTCGTGGACTATAGACTGGCTTGTATTCAAATGAGACCGATACTGGTAGCAAAACTAATGAGTTAGTCAGCTTCGGTGTCACGGACCAAACCTGCAAAGAGAAGCTTGTGTTATATATGCAAGAAAAACAGAAATAGGAGAATCACACTAAACCTAACCACTTTAGGTAACCAAAGAGCATGTTGTGGCATTAGTACAAACTGGTACAATCACTATGTTTTTGTAATAAGTTGGGACATTGAAATTAATATTGTACTAGTAAAGTTGCAGTAAGTTTTTTTTAAAAATATATATACATATATACTGCCAGCACAAATGAAAAATTACTGTTGCATGTAATTTGCCTTGTTTTGTTTTTCTCCAGAATAATAGACTCCTATTTTTCTTTTCTTTTTTTTTCTCAACACTCTGGTTTACGCCTAGCTGAAGCTAATGTGGCCTTTAGCTGTCCTGCAGTAAGTCTGACCTTTCCAATTTAGATTATAATAGTAGCTCTCAATATAGTTCAACTTTTGTGAAAATCCTGTGTTAAGAGAGGTGTGTGTTTAACTTTGTGATATGTTTGGAGGGTGTTTGTGCTGCTTCACAGGACACAGTGCACACCAGCACAGTGTGCACTGTTGGTATAATGCTGTTGCGCTTTTGTGACGACAACAGCATCGCTGACCAGCGTAACACCTGAAACAAACCCTCGCTGTCATGGAGTTGCGGAGCTGCAGCAGTTTACGAGTTGCTGATGTGCATCGTGCGCAAAGAAAGCATCTACTTCTAAATTCAGACGTGACTGTCACCTGTACTTTGTGTGGGATTTTTGTGTTTGTTTTTAATTGATTGTGTTAGTTTTTAAGTGATTTTATTTTTCACATCTAACAGCACAGGAAACTTTTCTAAATGAACGTTTCAAAATGTGTGGTGGAATAGTTGGACCTACTTAAGTGTTATTGTTGTTTTCGGTCTTTGTGGCCACTGAAAACAAGGGCAGGATGTGCAAAAAAAAGAAAGCGAGTAATATAGAGTTGGTAGGAGCTTTGGCTGCTGAATATCTGAACTATAATCATTGGTGGTACTGCATTCTCTTTTCCACTATTTACATTTATTTGCTGCCAGAAGCAAACTAAATAAAACTGCAACTATATGTGACGGCTTCTATATACTTTCTAACTGATTTATGATGTGCTGTCTTTGGTTATTTTATCATTATGCATTCCTGTCCATTCGCTTTTTACTCATGCATTCAGCATTTCCTAATTGCTACTAATATTTTTTGTCTATATTTATTACAATCTTAATATAACTTGTTGGTGCAATTTCCCACAGGCTTTAGCATTTCCCTCGACCTCTTATTAAATTCTGATATTGATCTGTTGATGTTGTCTTATGATTGTAAACCTCTCAGCAGGACCTGTAAATCCAGGGTTAACAGAGCCGGTGGTGTTGATTTTGTTAGGTAAAGCTAAGAGTAGTGAGACTGAAAACTGAGGGGTACCTATTATGGTTTAACTGCTATTTTTTTTCATTAGTTAAATGGTGATGGCTGCCTGATGTGTAAAGGTGGACGCTAGCCTACCTTTTCATAAGCTACAGTGGAGATAAAGAGCTTACACACCTCTGTTAAAATGCCAGGATTTGCTGATGTTAGCGTAAAATTATACCAAGATATTTGCAGGTTTTTTCCACCTTTAATGCGATCTATAACCTGTACAGTGGAACTAAAACTTAAAGTTTGTTGGAGCATACAGAATTCTTTCGGGGGGGGTACATCTCAACTTTCTTCTTTGCAAAAAGCACTCCAAATCTAACAGACTGTGAGGGTGTCTCCTTTAGGTCAACCTGTAGAAAAATGCTGAAAAATGTAGCCAGGCTTGGATGTTTGGAAGTGAGAAAAGGCTTCTGTTTTACCACCCTACCCTACCACATAGCCCAGACACATGAAGGCTACTTGCCAGATGACCACATTTCTTCTGGTCTTTTCATAAATTTTAGAGTGATGTCCAGTCTTTGCAGTCCCACTGCCAAATATTCTCCACGTGTTCATGACGGTCTTCACTGTGTTTTGTGGTACATTTAATGCCCTCTCCTGATTGATACCTTTCAATAATGTCATTCATTTGACGATAATGGCTATGACTTTAAGATGCAGCTATGTAAATATCAGGAACATCTCACTAGAACATCTGAATTATATGTGGTTTTGATCAAAAGATGGCAGGTGTGTGCAGACTACTTAACATAAATTTGATTGCAGTTATCCGAGGTTGTCAACACTTATGTTTTCAGTTTATGTTTTAGTTAAACTGTGTAGTTATAGGTCGCACTGAAGATGGAAAAACAATCTAATTTTTAAATTTATTTAGTTTTATATATCACAAATATCTGGCATATTAACAGGGATGTGTAGACTTTATATTTACTGTAAAACACAAAACAAAATGTTTTTACTCTCATGTACAATGTCTTAACTTGGCGTTATGTTTGGCTCATGTTAAACTGCAAATACTTCCCAAGTGTTTGATGTCTAAAAATGCTGAGCTGCATATAAGGATATAAGAAAACTGTAACTTAAGGGATGCTTTTCTGTTTACACCGCATATTTCAGTGAAAAAACTGTGCAATAATTTAAACCAGTTGACAATTTTCCCACCAGGAGGAATTATATAAAGGCAAACCGCATTTGTAGATTATTTAATTCACTTGACTGTTAAACCAAACTCTGAGGTGATGCCCTGTCCCGACAATAAAAGTCTTAATGGTTCCAAACAGATGCACACGTAGCCCTATTTATTACAAAGTTATATAATGTATGTATTACTCTGGTCTCTCTAATGTTTATTTGTAATTGTGGTGGATTGAAAATTGCTTGCTCCAGCATGGCAAACCTGAATTGAAGACATGAAACTGTTTTTTTTTTAAAGCCTCCTGCTGTAACTGTTTTAAATCATCCTGTATTTTTTTCCTACTCTGAACTGTTTAGAATAAACATGTGGATTCATCTGCTGTGGTGGCCAGTTGGGAAATAATTGTATTCGTTCAGATTATTAAACATGACTGTGAATGAGAGGGACGCTACAGTGAAGGTGAGTGCACAAGAGAGATGAAGAGAGTGCAGGCAGGGTGGCGTGGGTAGAACTGAGTATAAAGGCTGATTTGTGAAAGAAGGAGAGCAGCAAGAAGGAACTTGAAGGTTTGCAAGATTGTGGGACCTGCTATGATGTATGATTTGGAGTTGCTGGCAAAGATGGAGCTGAAACTAGAGCTGACATATCTAAAGATGTTAAAAGTTTCACTAGCAGTGACCAGAAGGGACAAGATTAAAAATGAATACATATGCGGGACAGCTGGATCGAGCGATTTGGAGACAAGGTTAGAGAGGCAAGGCTGTGATATTTCGGATATGTAGAGGAGGGACAGCGGATATACTGGACAAAAGATGCTGAATTTGGAGGAAAAGAGGAAGAGATTCATAAATGTAGTGAATGAGGACATGCAGAAGACTGGTGTGACAGATGCAAGGAATAGATGATGGCGACCCCTAAAGGCACCAGCCGAAAAGAAAAGATGATTCGGGGGTGATAAATGAGTTAATCTATAGGTTATTACTGAAGACAAAGCCTATAAATGGTTTGACGAAGAAAATGTTTCGGGGGTAAACCTGTATGAACTAGTTTAATTCTTATTAAACCAGTTCCCCCTCCCCAAAGAACTTCTAAATAGTAAAGACCAGCTCTAATTATACTCTCTAGCTCTCTACAACCTGAAGGAGACAAGACTTGCCCAATCATATTTCGCTTTGTTCAACCGTCGTCCAATAATCTGTGAGCTTGTTGGATTACGACAGAAAGCAACAAGAAGTTTCCAAAATGGTGCTTGAAAGTACTATGGTCTGGTAAGAACTCTACAAATGTATTTTTGTGTGTGTTTATAAACCCGTTAGCGGTTCATATGGAGGTGTACCAGTAAGTTACTTTATAAGGGGGCTCACCGAGCTGCATATGGGGTAAATGTCGCTGCCAGCCAGGCTGATAATGCACAGTTGATTGTGGGCCGGCTAACGCAATATCGACCGGCTGAGTCATTGTAGCTAAAGTTAGCCTTGATTTGAGGTCTTATTAAAGTCTTTATTTACCTGCAAGCCACGAGACTTAATTTCCAGAATGTCGCTGGTTACAGTTTTGTGTTTTCTGCCTAAATTATTAACTGACACCAGCGGTTACTTGATTGTTTTCCAGCGGCATATGTAGAGTCACCTCTCGCTAACGTTAGCAAGCCGTGCT